GAGGAAAAAAGAAGAGCCACGGCAGGAGGATTTATAGGGGTGAAGAGAGGGATAGATGAGCGTCAGTAAAGAGAGGGAGGAAGGGGGGTGGTGATATTGACTTACTGAGAGCTACAGCTGAGTCATTTATAGAAGAGAAAGAGTGAACAAAAACTTAAATAAAGGAGTTATTGGTAATATTATACTTGAGTAGAAGTAAAACTGGCCATCAAGACAAATACTTAAATAATAAAGAGTCTAGCGAGGTTTATGCGAAGATTATGTGGAGTCCCTCAGGGATCAGCACTTGGTCCACTGGTATTCAGCGTGTTCACGTTGCCTCAACAACGCAATCTGCAGACACATTATGCCGATGACACTGAGTTTTACCTGTCCGTGAGACCATACATTTAAGATATTTAGTATTTCCTTTAGAATAAATGTTTTTGTCAAGGTGGATAAAACGTTGAAACTGCATTTCTTTGTGGCAAGCATGTGACAAGTCTCCTACAGCTTTCCAAATATACATATTTTTTACATAAATCATTTTAAATGGTTGTGTCTGAGTAGAACAAAGATTTAATTTTAATAATTTAGTTGTTTTGTGTTTAAGTTTCTAATGTAACAACTCCTCATTGTCTTTTCTTTTTCCACTCAAACTGTAAGAAACTTGACTGTTTTTAAAAGGTCTGCAGCTACAAATACAGGCTGTATAGAGTTAGTCAGTTTTGGGGAATAGAATTGACTACTGTTGCAGATATTGTGAGCACAGAGAAGAAACTTTTTTCAATTATCTTCCTCTTCTCCTCAGGTGCGTTTCAACCCCAACATGTGCTGCCACACCTGGGTGGTGTCCGCAGGCCACACAGGGCTGGTCAAGCTAAACTGTCTGAGGGGTATAATCACCTCCCAGTCCAAGAAGATTATCAGTGAGAACCAGGCCCAGTTCAACGCACTATACTCACCAAAAGACCAGAAGGAGGCCGTCCAAACTGTGACAGATGAGCTATAGCAAGAGTTCAACTTCACTGCAGAATCAGAAGGTGGATAACACTGTCACGTTTGGTGTACGACTGCAGAAATAAAATCACTAACTTGCAAAAAAAGTATTTTTAAGAATGATTAAAAAAACAGTATTTAGTTAATTAGCACATACAGTACACTGTATACACTTTCTGTTTATCAGCTGGGTTTCAAGTGTCCAAAGGCCTGCAATGATATTAAAGAAATTGACCAATTCTACTTTAGATTTGAACTTGAAAAACTAAATGATTTGCAGGTTTTGTGGCATATGGTATTTTACTCCACCACCATGTCTCATAGACAGAATCTTTCCATCTTTTTCCACTTTTCTTCCACCCAATTATCAAAAGTGTCAGTGGTGACAGTTGATTTCCATCCAAGACGTTTGAGCAGCTGGCAGTTAAGTGCCTTGCTTAAAATGGGTCACATTAGCAGTTTCCACTTAAATGGTTAATGATTCCAAGTGAGTTAAGTAGGGTTTTTGGTTGCTCCGGTATCTCTTATTTGGCATACAAATTGCAAATGGCAAACATGGCAGTGAATCCATTGCTGACAGCAGTCCAAAATAATGTAAATATAAATGATCAGCTGCATTAACTGCTATAAAATCAACTGCTCTCAGGAAAAGTAATTACATGCAGCTGTTTTAATTAATAATAATAAAAATCATAGTTTTTTTTATTATTTTAAATTGTCTAAGTTGTCTACAGTGATTTCGAAGTGTACTCCAGCGTATGTCAGTACACCTTGACATCGCGGTTGGGCGTGGTTACAGGTGCAACAGACTTGAACGTTGAAACCAGAAAGGTATTTATTGTAATAAAAACAAACAAAAAAACATAAAAAAAACATACATCTTATTTTTTCATTTCAATGTAATTAAAAGCAAACATTAGTCACTATTCTTCTATATGTGGCACAAGTTGGTGCGGAAATTCAAATAAAAGTGTTTCTGCTCACAAAATGGAAAATACAAAGAACCGAGTCGAATGTGAGAAACTGGATAAACCTTAAGGCTTTCTTGTATTTTATTTTAGCAAAGTTTTGATTTTGTAATCAGAAAGACATTCCACTGCAGTTGTAGCGCCCTCTCACATCACTGTTGATGTTTTAAAACTGCGGACTGAGCTTTAAAACATGAACAGCGAGCTGGGAACCATTGGAGCGTACCTTTATGCTCATATTTGCTGCTGTATTTTTGTAATTGATCATTTTTCTCTTTTACTGTGTCAAGAACAACTCAGGCTGTAACTGAGAGGAAATACTTGAAGTTTTTTTATTGTAACTGCTGGATGTAATGTTTATAAATGACAAATTTTAGGTCTTTTTTCATTGTTCCTTTCCTTACCTGCTGTTGTTACTCTGATGATTCAAAGGTTTTATTACATCAACTGCAATAATGTGACATGACTGAGTTTGTTTTTTTTCAGTGTCTACCAAGCAAATTGGAAAATGTTATTACTTACAGACGCAGCTGTCTCCTTTTTAGAGGTTGTCTAAAACGTGTTTTGCTCTAAGTTAAATTAGGGGGTTTGAAAATGTGCTCATCGGTTTTGTTTTGTTTTTTAATAAATCGCATTGACAGTTTCAGAATGATGTTTAGTGAACACCATGATAATGTTGTCAGTCATGAAACATAGTTAATTACTGAAAATATTATCATTCACTTATAAACCATAGAAATGATAATAAAAGCATCAAAATTTACAGCATCTGCTGTTCTGCTCTGTTGCTATTTGTGAAATGTTACATATAATTAATGTTTTTGTAATAAAAAAAAGACTAAATATTAAATAAAGTTGAGATTGGAAGTTCACTTTCGACCTTGGAAACTGCAGTTGGCAAAATAATCTTGTCAGTAGCTTTCGATCATATCGCATGATCTTCATCAGCAGACGGGGTCTGACCACTTGTCGTGAAATATTAGGATTTCAAATGTTGAAATTGCGGATGTTTTGTCATTTGCTGTTTACCTAAAGTGCTGAGAAAAAAATCTAATTTAAACATCTACAAGTCAGTGACAACTCGACATCTGCTAATGAAGATCATGTAACATGTTCGAAATCCCCAGAACAGCTGCTGTGGACCTTGTAGTGAGATTGTTTTGCCAATAAATAAATAAAGTGTCTAATAGCTTGTTGGAACTAAATTGGGGATATAAACAATAACCAACATGCCTTTTTAGAATAATTAATTTTATCAAAACCAAAATTTAAATTAAACATTACATTGTCTCAATGGATATCTCTAAAATAACCCAGCCTCTTTCCATCATCTGTAATCTTTTATTTCACTTTACAAAAAACTCTTGCCACACATAAAAATGAAATATCAAACATCACAGATGTGACATGTGGATTTTTGCAACATCACCAGAACACTTAGACAAATAGGACCAATCGTACAAGGGAGATAAATGTATTTACACATGTATACACAAAATCATACACAGAAAATACACAATATTTGACATATTTACAACAGTCACACAAAGACAGCACAATACAGAGCATTCTCAAACATTAGACTTTCATAGTGAACAAACAGGAGCAGTGTTTTTCTGGAATAAAACAAACTTTTTCAGACTGTAAAGAAAGACTTTGGCTCAAGCCTGTAGAGGAGAACTTCAGTATGCATGTATATCAAAACTAGTACAGTAAAATGCATTGGTCTTTATTACATTCACTTTGTTCTAACTTAGTATTCACAGCTGTTGGGTCCATATATATTCTCATTTTGCATTATTTCAAAAGGAAAAATGTATTTAAATATACAAGATCTCCTTAAAAATTGGTGAAAATATAGAATTTTAAAGAAGGTGTCTTTTCTTTGATTAATCCTCTGCATGGTATATCAACATATTCTGATTGGCAGTTGAACAAGAAACTTCTTACTGTACATGATATTGAATAACAGCTAACAACCATGCAAGTATTTGGATCAGAATGGATGTCAACTAGGCGTTTACAATATACAATTGTCCTTTCTTTGAGAGCAACTAACAACATCAACACTTTATAGTAGCGAGAAACATTACAGGCATGTCAGCTGACTTGTAAGCTTTTCTTATGGGTGCAAAATGGTCTCAAAATTATTCTCTTTACTGATGTCCAAAGTATTAACCAATACCCACCAAAACTGACTCTAGTTCCATTAAACATGCTGTGGATGTTCGTGGTCCCCAGAAATTCGAATGATAATGACACCATGATCATCCCCCTATAGCACCACCATCAGCCCAAAATGTCATGAAAGGTGTAACAAGTTACAGACTCATATGAGTGTATGGAGAAGGAGTTGAGGTGTCTTATTTTAAATTAGAGCTGCAACTAATGATTATTTTCATTGCCAAAGAGGAAATTCTCAATTAATTGATTAGTTGTTTGGACCATAAAATGGTGAAAGTCTTGATTGCTGTTTCCCAAAGCCCAAGGTGACGTTCTCAAATGTCTTGTTTTGTCCACAACCCAAAGATATTTAGTTTACTGTCATAAAGGAGTAAAGAAACTAGAAAATATTCACATTTGAGATGCTGGAATTATAGAATTTTTACATTTTGGTGATTAATTTAAGAGCTGACAGGTAATCGATTAATCGTGCAGCTCTAGGGTAAATAAGGGTAAAATATCAGCTGAGGTCTAAGCCTATGAGCACTAGAGGGAGTTGAGTGGTGTGTATGTGTGTGAAGAAAACAAAATCTTTGAAATGTTTTATTTTGAAGTCTTGAGCACTCTTGAAGCCACTATAAGCTCCTCTTTCCACCATTTGTGGCTTTTAGTACTTACTCCTGGGCCCCAGACTTGCAAAGGCATGGATGGATGGATGGATTGATAGGCAGACAGGAAACAGAGAGACATATAGTAGATGGATGGGTAACACTGAAGCTACAGGAGGAAAGAGAGATAGCTGAGATGGATGACTGCATGAAGCTGAAACTAATCGTCCGTCTGCAGGACTAAATCATTTCTGCCCTCAGACCTGAATGTCCGCTCAGAGTTGACAGTGGAAGCAGCTGAATGCTTTTTCAGTCTGACACTTACTCATTTTCCTTCTGCTCAATCAATACAGTGCCCACTAGTAGGTAAACATGTCTAAAGACACTTCATTGTGAGCAACTCTGACAAATGAGACCAAGAAAGACAACAAAATTGTCAAAAGGGCTACTATCAAGAATAGCCCTTAATGAGTTCAGTTTTGAGGCTGTCGGTATCTTAAACATCAACTACAGGTCGATCAATCCTCGTATTTCCACTGAATTTGCTCAAATGTTTGCAAATCTAAATTGATCTAATTTTATGATCCTGGAAACACCTCTAAAAGACAGGCATGACTCCTCATCTTTGGCATGATGCGATACAAGTGAAACAAGTACAGTACAGTAGAGAGAGTTATCAATTCTAGATGTCACTGAATTATTACATATGAGACAGACACCAGCATGGTATATACCCCAGTTCACACAAAAACAAATCATGACCAGACGAAAATGTTTCAACAGCCAATCGGCTCGTTGCAAAGCCAGCTGGTCGAAATGCCAAAGTTTTGGACGGAGAAAAGAGAACATCGCCTCGTCAGTTTGTTTGACGCAAGCCTTAAAATGAACCCATGCACCTATGGATGGCTCCAAATTCTCAACCTTCTCGTTTTATTGAGCTTTTTGTATTGTTCCATCAAAAAAAAGCAAGTGTAGCAAATCTGTAAGTAAATCAATATCACTATCCTCATTTTATATTTTATGATGGTAGGAATGATATCCAAAAAAAAAAAAAGCTACAGTTAGCCGGCAGTTATGGAGATGATACCCTGTCTCGTCTAGTTGCATTGGTGTGAACTGGCAGGGTTTCAGTACGTTGTGATGAGGTACAGTACAGTATAATGTTTAAAGGGAGTACTAGAATAGTTTAGGCCAGGATACTAAAAGGTGTTCAGACCAGGATCCAACAAAACTTGCCCAAATCAAGTCCGTAAGATTGGAAATAAATGTTTTTTTTTTCTCCAACAAATTCTATGACGATAGCCTGAAAAGCTGTACTGACATCGTGACTATCAGTTGTTGCATCTGTCAGTCTGTTCATTTGCATGGCTTCATAGTGCAGATTTTGTAGATTAAAAAATCATCATCATACTTTCTCATTTGTTTATCATGACATTGACCAATTAACAGTCCTTACACCCTCCGTCTGTTATCTTCCTAAGGCAACAACCAACAGTAGGTACAAAATGTATATTTTCAGAGAGGTATTATTCATGCTTTCCTTCCTTAAAAGATGAATTTTGTCAGTGTGGTGGATATTACCAGGGTGTTTTCAATGAGGTTATGTCAAGAAAGAACTTTTCGGCAAATAAAACTGTTAAAAAATGGAATTCGTGACTAGCTAGCATCGCAGAATCAAGTCTGACCTTTGGTGAAAAGCAATGTCAGTGAGTGTCACTCGGTAACGTTAGTGTTGAAACAACAGACATCGAAGCCATCCATGTGTTCCTGGTAGAACAGGTGCTCCATGCTAACAGGTCACTCAGCTGGTTGTGTGCTCCATGCTAAAATATTTGGTATTTGTGTGTAAGTAGCATAATCAGGGAAGTTACTGTAGAAAATAAGTAGGAGCCCCAAAGCTGTAAAGTAATTGTGAACAAAATGTGGTCGTGTATTTGGCAGTTTTCTAAATGAAATGCTAAAGGTTAGGCAGTGTTTTCAGAGAGACTGAAAAACTAAGCTTCTCCTGAAATATTTGCATAAATATAAAGTTTAGTAATGTAGATGTTAAACAGAAAATAAAAACCATTAACAGTCTTTTATAACTAATGTGCTACTCATTGCTTGTGGCCTACAGTCATCTATTATGCTCCTTTTCATCACCACGTCACCTTGTACATCTGCTACGATGGACCCCTGTTGCCGCTATTGGTCATATTACTTTTTATTAGTTTCAGTATTGGTTTTAGTTTTTTTTATTCAAGATTTAAGAATAGGTATTACAATACAAACACTTTGTGAAGGCAATTGACTCACAGTCCTGTAGACATCCCAGTCTCAATAAACATTTGCACTTATGCCTCCTCATAAAACTAAAGACATTTCCTGTATATTCTTATTTGATTTTAGTTAATTTTTTATGTACACAAGCTAGTTTTTTCTCATTTTTATTTCAGTGAACTAAAATGTTTTTTTTAACACATACTTTTAGTTTTTAGTTTAGTTTTTGTTTGCAACCACCATAAACCAGCTGTGAGATAGCTAGCAAGTCTGGTGAACAAACCAGTATGTCCTAAATAGTACTGTACTGTTATCTTATGTGTAGTGTTTTGGTGACTAGGCTCAGAATTTCAGATGACAAGAGGGAGATGAGATATGTTTATGGACTGAACCAACATTTTGGCCAAACTTACAAGCCAGCACATTATCGACCTTTGCAGCCTCACCCCAATTCTCGGTAAAAACCATGAGGACCAAAGTGCGATACACCCCATTTTTGAGGAGGACTGCAAGACTTTTTATGGCCTTTACCATCTTAGCATGGAGCTCCAGCATCAGCACTCTTACTACCAACACATGGACGATTCAGCTGTCTGATTTCTTGTGACCTAATGGCAAACGCAAACCAAAATCTTATTCTACTCATTTAACAGGAAGCTGCATTGTGAATACAACTCTCGCTGGTCCAGCTCACCCAGAGAGAAGGGAAATGTGCCTGAGTCCTGTTCCATGTCCTGTTGGGTCCAGTCTTGTCCGGTTCCAGTATCAGTGTCAGTCACTGGGGTCCTGGCAGTGGGAGCAGTGGCTCATGTCTTCAGAGTAGAGCTCTACCTGGATGGTGATGCTGTAGAAGCC